TATGGAGACTGTATGTCCCAAATTCTACCACACAGAAGCAACGTGAAGCAGCTAGCTGTCCATATGAAATAGGGTGCTTCAAAGCAATCCTGATAATGGCTGTGAAGTTCCAATCATTGTGCTATTCAACCTATTGTGAAAACTCATAAGTCCTCAAGGAGGTCACTCTTGGTCCTGAAAGCTTTCTAATCAACTTTAGAATAAGGCCCAGGTGGGGTGTCATCAGGTTCCAATAACTGAGGCCAATGACTACAGGGGGCACACTAAACTGGTCTTGGGTTAGGGTTAGGGCAGGGCAGGAAGCAGCTCTGTAGTCTGTGATTTCTGTTCCCACTTCAGATTACCCTGGAAGGGTAGGTATCTATATGAGCAACACACAGAGCCAGCTGTTTCAGGGTGATTGCAATGCAGTTGCAACACAAATGGTGCTCATTACCAGCAGGATGATGCTGGGAAGCCAAACAATACGCCCTATGTCTGACACAAATTAGCAATATAGGATTATCTAGCAAGTGTGAGAGAAGAATTATACTGACAACCAATTTAGGGTTGTCAGTTAGGTTCACAATGTGTACAAGAAGTTAATATATTACTACACTGGGTTCTATTCTTTACAGACAGAAGAATATGTGTGCACACTGTATCTGTGCGAATTCACCAAACTGGCGACAGTGTTTTGCTGTCAGGCCAGTGTCTCAGTGCACTTATTTAAGATCTTATCAAAGTCTGGAGGTTAACTGTCAATCGTCATTAACTGATGCATTCTCCATGGCAGTGTTTCTACCCATCAGAACTTTTCCCTCTCACTATAAATGCTGGTGTCTTCCTTTTTTCGGTAATCTTGAAAATTGTCCTGATGAGTGCAAGACTAAAAACTCCAATAAAATGTGATTTTTACAGCAATACTCAAGTTCTATTCTACCAAACTGCTATTATCAGTTTTCTCAATCTGGTTTGGATTCTTCAAACAAGATAGAAAAAGGATACCAGCTTAATCAACTGCTACCAAATGAAGAGCGGGGGCATAAGGAAAAAAATGAACAGGAAGTATAAGTGGTCTTGCAGTTGAGGTTAAAGCATAGCATGAATGCAGCATGTTCGGATGGAAGTTCATTGACCCAAAATGTCAACTGTGTATCTCCACAGATGCCATCTGACTTGCTAAGTATTTCCAGCATTTTAATTTTTAATTGCAGATTTCCAACATCTGCAGTGTTTTATTTTTATCTTGATATATCATCAGTGATATTTCCTTTGTACTCCTTGCTAGTCAATTCAAGTGGATGTTAAAAGAATTCACAGGAGCTGCTTGAAAAGGAGCAGGGAGTTCTCCTGGTGTTCTGGCCAATATTACTTTCTGTTACCTCTCAAACCAGATTAACCTGTTAGTTACCTCAGTGCTGTTTATATCCTTGATCATTGCACTTAATTTTTAAACAAAACTCTTGAATTTGATTATCATGTATCGCTCTCCATATCCCTGCACACCATTTCTTCTGCCTTTATTCAGAAACAATTTACTGGAATGGTTTCAGGAATGAGGGACTTCAGTTATGTGGATATTTTGAACAAGCTATGCTTGTTCACCTTAGAAGAGAGAAGGTTGAGAGATGATTTGATAGATGTGTTCAAATTATGAAGTATCTAGGCAGGTTAGAAAGAGAGAAATTGTAACAAACAAACAGAAAACGTTAAAGAAACTCAGCAGGTCTGGCTGCATCTGTGGAGAGAAAACAGTTAACATTTTGAGTCCTGTGATCCTTCTTTAGAGATAAATGGAACCTTTTGCTGGCAGAACCAGAGAACAGAGAACACAGATGGAAAATGATTGGCAAATGAACCAAAAGTGACACAAGGAAAATCATATTTTTAATCTCAAAGTATAATTAGAGTGTGTTGCCTGAAAGATTGTTGGAAGCAGATTCAATTGTGGCTTTCAAAAGGAATTAGTTAAGTACTTGAAAACAAAAAAATATGCAGGGCTACTGCTAAAGAGTAGCGGAGGAACATTAGGTAGAATTCTCTCAGACTTGCATTGGCTGAATGGACATAGCAACTCTTTTCTACGCACGTTATTCTTAAAATAAAAAAAAGGAAGATATGGTTTCTGAAGGACAGAACACTTTGGTTTAAATACAAACTTGATAAGATTTTAAAGAAACGAATCGAAAAAGATAAAAGTCTAATTTGTGAGTGAGGGAGAATTTAATCAAATATCTAAAACCAAAATGTAACTATTAGATTAAATGAGAGCATGGTTACATGGTTACTCTCTGTAGACACTGTTAATCAACCTGTTCAAATGTGTTTTGATACACCTTTGGAGCAGGTGGCACTTGAACACTACCACAGTGCGACAGGAAACCCATGGCATCTCTATATGCTTGGCACCGAGGGTACGCCACTGCACAAACTAATAACTCACCAATCACCTGAATAGATAGTCAATAGTTTTATTTCGTTCAAGGATTTGTCACTTCTCTGGGTTCACTTACATTAAAACAAAATTTAATTTTACTTACCTATAGCTTTCAATAAATCACTGGGGATGTTATTTCCAGCCAGTTCTAGACGCGTTAAGGTTTTGTTTTGTTGTAATGCACAAAGTAATGCTCGACCGCCTAAGAGGCCAACATTATTCCAGCGAAGGTCTATAAAATCAAAAGAAAGATTCCAGAAGCCACAATGTGCAGTGAGAGAATGACATCACAGGGACAGTTATCTGCAGTTTTTCCAAGTTGTCAAATTAATTCACTAACACCCTCTTCCCTTTACTGATGAATTACTCTAGGTTTTGTTTTAGAAGCACATAATTAGATAAAATGCTTCCCAACATTACTTTGTTTTGAAAATGTGATTTATTACTTACAGTAGGCAATTTAAAAAAAATCACTGCAATTATTCTAAACCTTGAAGAAATGAAACTTGTCAACTGTGAATTAAACAGCTATATAATGCTTAAGGACTTACACCTCTCAATTGCTATGTAACTAAAATGTTAACAAAATCTTTACTTTTGATGAAAAATATTTCTACTTTTTTTTAAACTGGATTAATTCTGTAAAGAATCCCACATACCGAGTTCCTCCAGTGCATCATTGTGTTTTAAGGCCAATGCCAGCTCTCCTACACCCTGGTGGTTGATCTGGTTATTGCGTAGGTCCAGACGTTTAAGACATTTGTTGGTTCTGACTCCCTCACAGAATATACAAAATCCTTCTTCCCACATTCCAAGAGCATTCCATTCCAATATCAAACTGGAAGAAAATGGCCACACTACATTAGGAAAGTCTTAAACTATGGGGACTGGCCTTTAAAACACTTTACAATCTTTCACAAAGAAAACATACTTAATTATTTAGATAACACAGTGTGGAGCTGGAGGAACACAGAAAAAGGGTCCCGACCCGAAACGTCAGCTTTCCTGTTCCTCTGATGCTGCCTGGCCTGCTGTGTTCCTCTAGCTCCACACTGTGTTATCTCAGACTCCAGTATTGGCAGTTCTTACTATCTCTGATACTTAATTATTTAGCCTGCGTCAATTATAAAGGGGATACCTCAAAGAAAGCAATCACAGTTTAGCAGATAATGCATTTAAATTCATCTACCCCTTTAGAACATAGAACATAGAACATAGAACATAGAACATTACAGCGCAGTACAGGCCCTTCGGCCCTCGATGTTGCACCGACCTGTGAAACCAATCTGAAGCCCATCTAACCTAAACTATTCCATTATCATCCATATGTTTATCCAATGACCATTTAAATGCCCTTAAAGTGGGCGAGTCTACTATTTTTGCAGGCAGGGCATTCCACGCCCTTACTACTCTGAGTAAAGAACCTACCTCTGACATCTGTCCTATATCTATCGCCCCTCAATTTAAAGCTATGTCCCCTCGTGCTAGCCATCACCATCCGAGGAAAAAGGCTCCCACTGTCCACCCTATCTAATCCTCTGATCATCTTGTATGTCTCTATTAAGTCACCTCTTAACCTTCTTCTCTCTAACGAAAACAGCCTCAAGACCCTCAGCCTTTCCTCATAAGACCTTCCCTCCATACCAGGCAACATCCTGGTAAATCTCCTCTGCACCCTTACCAATGTTTCCACATCCTTCCCATAATGCGGTGACCAGAACTGTACGCAATACTCCAAGTGCGGCCGCACCAGAGTTTTGTACAGCTGCAACATGACCTCATGGCTCCGAAACTCAATCCCTCTACCAATAAAACCTAACATACTGTACGCCTTCTTAACAACGCTATCAACCTGGGTGGCAACTTTCAGTGATCTATGCACATGGACACCGAGATCTTTCTGCTCATCCACACTACCAAGAATCTTACCATTAGCCCAGTACTCTGTATTCCTGTTACTCCTTCCAAAGTGAATCACCTCACACTTTTCCACATTAAACTCCATTTGCCACCTCTCAGCCCAGCTCTGCAGCTTATCTATGTCCCTCTGTAACCTCACAAACTTTAAGCTCACAAATTTAAATATACCAGATGAAACTTTAGTCTCCAATTGTTCTTCCCAAGAAAAGCTGCAATATTGGTAGCAATGCACTTTTGGGGATGCCTATCTTCAGACAAGACTTTAAACTATGCTCCTATCTGCCTGCTTAGGAAGTTGGAAAAGATCCCATGGTACTTTTTTTGAAGACTACCAGGGAAATTCTCTCTGGCTCCTTGTTGACATTAATCCCTCAATTAACGCCACACAGAAAAAACAGATTATCAGGTCATTGTCACGTTGTGATTTGTGGGAATTTGCTGAGCACAAACTGACTGCTGCATTTCCGACATTACAACAGTGACCACACATCAACAAGGGTTCTTAAATGAAAACAAACTGCTGGAGAAACTCAGATCTGGCATCATCTATGGAGACAGAAGCAAAATTAATATTTCTATTCTAATGACTCTTCTTTAGAACCTTGAGGTTCTTATTAGGCTTCTCTGGCTGTTAAGTGCTTTGGGAATTATCTGACCAATGTGAAAAGCACAACATAAGTGCAAAGTTTGACTTCCCTTCTTTACATATTGCAGTTAATTATTAGATTATAGCTGTTATTGAGCAAGTTAATTCAAAAAATATGTTTGAATGAAGTGATTCTATCAAATCAAGACCATGATATTTTGGATCAATCATATTCAAACATAACAACATACTTAACACATACTACAAAGATATTTTATATTTAAAATATTCTTTTGTCTCACCTGCTCCAAAGATGCCAACTTCAACAAGGGGACCTCTGAAATGTCCACTTCATCATGGCTGACAGGACCCTCAGCCATGTCTGATACCCTCCCGCACTTTGGCCTTCACCCTTTCTCTTCTCTCCCACAACAGCAATAGGATGCCCCTCATACTCACCTACCATCCCACCAGCATCCATACAGAGAGGATCAATAGCTGTATTTCCACCACCTCCAGCAGGATGCCATCACCAGACACATATCAACCCACCACGCTCCCCCACCCCCCTCCCCACCACCCCCACAACCTCAGCCTTCAACAGGGATTGCTCCCTTTGGGCCACATTGATCCATTCCTCCTCCACTCCCAACACCTCCCCACATCCCAATGGCACCATCCCTTGCAATTTCAGAAGATGCAAGACATACCTGTTTACTTCCTCCTTCCTTATATCCAAGGCCCCAGACACACCTTCCAGGCAGTTTACCTGCACTTCACTCAAATCTAGTCTACTGTACTTACTGCTCACAATGTGGTCTCCTCTACATCGAGGAGATGAAGTGGAAACTGGGTGACAGCTTTGCAGAACATTTATGTTCTGTCTGCAAAAATGACCCTGAGCTTCCAGTTGCCTGTCACTTCAACACACCATGCTATTCTCTGGTCAACATCTCTGTCTTGGGCTTGCTGCAGAGCTCTAGCAAAACTCAGCGCAATCTGCAAGAACAGGTCATTTCCACTTGGGAACCCTGCAGCCTTCTGGACTCAATGTCGAGTTCATATTTTACAGCCCGAGTACCTTCTGTCACCCAACGCCCACATACCAGGCCTTGGCACCACATGGGCTGCTATCACAAACAACCCATTGTCAGCCACCAAATGGTCCCCATCAGCTGCTATTCATTCTACCACGCTGAACATTATCCATTCCTTTTTCTGCCCCACTGTTTTCCTCACTTTTTGGGCTCCATCTGTCGTTTACTCCTCTCCCTCCCCGCACTCCAGCTTGACCATATATACCAATCTTTTCCCAGCTTCAATCAGTTCCGAAGAAGGGTTGCTGAACCCAAAACATTGGCCTTGCCTTCTCTCCACAAATGCTGCCAGATCTGCTGAGTTTTTCCAGTATTTCTGTTTTTGTTTCTGATTTCCAGCATTTGCAGTTCTTTGGTTTTTAAAAATATATATATATCTAATATTGCTAGAAAGACTGAAGTTTTCAAGGAATGAGGAAAAAAGGAATTTATTTCAATTCTTTTGGACATACCTGGAGTAGTTTCTTTAATTTGGGTTAATGAAGGTTCATTGTGGACATGAAGATTTTCTTTTAAAAGGATTCCTAGAAATCACATAATAACTAGTGATAACGGCTTGCTTCATGATAGACCCTGCTGAAGCTGCTTTGAACAGTGACTGACTTGCAGGAGTTCTGGTTTTGTCTGGCTCAGGTTGGAGAGAAACCTGAATAAGAACAAGCAGGGCTGGAAGAAAGCCTGTAATGAATAAGCTGCCCAGCTGAGCTTGTCATTTTTTAAAAGAAGAAAACTATCAATTCAGGGTGAAATCTATTTCTTCTTTTGAAAAACTGATTGAAAGAACTTCTCTAGATTGTATTTCCTGATCAAGATGTGTCTGCAAGAATTCAGAAACAAATGTGCATGATTCATGAATTGACCACACGTGCCAGAATAATAGATTCCAGAACATCCTATTTTATCCATTTGCTTTCAAGAATACCCTATAGGCTGAAGTATTCTTTTGCAGAATACCCATTTCTGCAGAGAAATCATTTTCTCTTCCTCTTTATTCTGAAGAGAGTGTGCGTATTTGCACTTTTTTGGGGTAAGCATTTACAATTCTACATTACTGACTATCAATAAAGAACAAAGAACAGTATAATACTGCATCTTTATTGATCTGAGTTGTATTGTTATCATGTAAACACAATTAGGTTTACTATGAACCCTGTTTGACAGACACTTTTTTTTAAATAACCTTATATAAATAAGGTACTTAATTGGTCATTTTAGTGACTGGAAATAAAACTCATGTCGTAACTCACAGGATAGCGGGATTGGAGTAATGGTGAACTCTTCCAGCCTGAGTCAAAATATATGTGACAAGCAACATAGCTTATACGTATATTCATAGCCCAAAGCTGATAATATCACTTGAATCACCTGTGGTCCATATTTTCTGAACATATAGCAATATAGTAACCACTAACTGTTTGTGCACAGAAGACCACTAAATGAAGAACAGAAGTTGCAATGACAAGTTACTGTTGCAATATAAATAATGCATGTTTATCAAATAACAAATAGTATTTCATTAATAGAAATGAAGGTCAGCACGTATTCGTAGTACAAACAGAGGATGTGCAATAGAAGCCATAGAATACAATTTAAACCAAAACTAACCTACTATGTAAATTATTAAAATAATTAGGGAAGGTGACAGCCTAGTGGTATTGCTACTAAAATGTTAATCCAGTGAAGCAGGTTATGTTCTGGGACGTGGGTCGAATTGAAACTCAATAAAAATCTGGAATTAAGAGTCAAATGATTACCATGACCGTGTTGATTGTGGGAAAAACCCATTTGGTTTACTAGTGCCCTTTGGGGTGGAAAGAAATGACTTTACTTATCTGGTCTGGCCTACACATGACTCCAGACCTATAGCAATGTAGTCGAATCTTAACTGCCTATGGGCAATAAGGGATGGCTAGAAATGCTGGCCTTGCCAGCACTGTCCACATCCCTTGAATGAACAGAAAACAAAAGGTGGAAACATAGTTTTTAGAAACAAGCTACTTATCTATGGTTCCAGTAATATAACAATACACTTTTATTCCCTAATACAATGAAGTTGCATTAGCAAAAATCTGAAAACTACGTAGGTTGCTGAGGATTAGATTTTACTCAATGAAAGGGGAAGCCTGATTCATATACTTGCTATCTTGCATGTTAGGAACTAAAATTACAGCATCAGTGGGTCAAATAACTGTTATCATACTTGCAGTGGGGGAGGAAAACGGCTCCATCAAAACTGGTTTGAACCTGCCAAAAGCCGATTCGCACTCTTTCACACAAGCACATAAAATTTGAGAGCCATCTGCTTGGCTACATATCTGAAGGAGCTATTCTTACTTTTTGAGAGATTTATTATGCCGCAATAATTTCCCCAGTGCTTCAGCTCCAGCCGCTCGTAGATTATTACCCTTAGATACAAAAGTTTACAGTTAAGTTCTTAACTGAATATTTAACAAGGTTACTATGACATAGGTCAAAATATAATTGCCACAGCACACAAACATAATGGACAGTGTTAAATAACTGAAGGTTAAGACTGCATGAAACTTAAAGCAGCAGTGGTTTCTCAAAACTCCAACCACGGAATATCCAATTTCTGTCACTTACAATAATAAGTCAAAAACCTGTTTCCAGCACTGTGTTGTTAAACATATTTTAAAGTGACCATCATGGATCAGAATCAATTACAAGCTACAGCACTTTGCAAATAAAAAAGGAGATCAGAAGTGGCAGGCTAAGAATGTTGTGTGAAATTAACTGGAGGTTAATAAACAAACCTTTTTGATAGTTTCACTAGCTCAAATTTCCAGTCAGTAAAGTATAAGCATTATATATAAACATTTGTATATTTTGATTCATTAGAAATAATTTTTAATCATTACAATGAAAAACAATGTTTAACAAGTATGCTACAGCAAATACTATCAACCTATAATATGGAAAACTGCATGATGAAAAAGTAACATGAGGAAAATTGAAAAGAAGTATCCATGTCACAAAAAAAATCTACAGTGGATTTGAATAGATTTATCCTATAAAATGAGACAAATATGCATGTAGGCAAAATGTCGAGCGATACTGAGGTTTTTCCTCAAAGACTCAATAAAACAGAACAGCAATGTTAATCTTCCCCATGGTGTTCCATTTGGCTGTATATGTCAAAATTATATTCTGTTAAATGCTATTTTTGTGAACACGGTATAAAAAGAAAATAAAAAGGACAAATTGATAGGATATTGAAATAATTTTGCTGATGACCTCCACAAAACAGTTTCAATTTTGAGAATTTTTACAAAATACTCAATCCTCGGACCCAAAACGCGCTGCTTCATCTTACTTTCTATTAACTTTTCTCATCTCCAGAAACCACACCAATAACATTTTACCTTCATGTCTAAAGTCTGGATTGTAGTGTTTACACAGAATCCATACAAAAGCAGTTTGGCACCTACAAGAAAACAAAAAGCATTTAAGATTTTGCACAAAGGATAAGCAATGCTGTTAGAATCTACAAAAGGGCACATATGCAACACATCTTTTAGATTAAAGATTTCTTTATTATTGCCCATTTAGTACATAATTACAGTTATATAAATATATAAACTTATTAAGAGAAATAATATATTCCTTTTCATTCCTTGCCCTTTATGAGCCATGAAACTTCTGATGTCAAATGGGCAGGCAGGTACGTTACTCAAAGCCCAAAGTTACTGGCTGTGTACTGCATGGATAGTACACGGATACCTTGGGGCCCTAAACTTTTTCTGTTTTCCGTTCAGCATGAAGTACTCATTTTTATCGGGCACCATAGCATTATAGGGAGAAAGTGTCATTTTTCTGTTCTGGATTAAATAGTCTAGTACTCTAAGCCACCCAGCAGAAAATACAAAAAAAAATCAAATCATAGTTGCCAAATTGAGAAAAGCTAAATTTCAAACAGTGCACCAATCAAGTAACACTTTACAAGTGCTGCAGATATGAGATTGTTGTGCGCTAAATTTTAAGTGCTTTATTTTTCAAATGTTATTATATTAGGAACTAATATTCTATTGACACAACATGAAAGTTTAATGATTTGAAGTGTTTTTTTAAATGCTCTCACTTTTATAGAACGACAATGTACATAATCCCTAATCCAATAAACAAATTAGTTGGGAATTAATCTCCAACAGGGCAAGGGTCATGGTCCTGCCTGTAATCTCCAAAAATGAACATAACTAGTACGGTAACAGGCCTGTGGCCTAAGCTTGTTGCACAATCTGGCTCTCTCATTAGTAAAACTGGAATGTATGATCAGGAATGGACAATTCAGCTCAGCAAGCCTGTTCCATCATTCAATTAAATCAGAATAGATCTGTATCTGAGCTCATTTAAAGGGGAGCTTCAAAAAAAAAAAAAAATTGCTGATATTGGTCTCCCAACACTTGGCATATTTATTTGTCCAATCATCAATTCCCTCATCACTTTGAAGCATGGTGATATGAAATAGCTAATAACGAGAATTATCTTTATTTAGTTGGTAGCACTCTTGCCTCAGGAGTAGATAGTTGTGGATTCAAATTCTACCCCAGGATTTGGTTTCAAATTCAGCTGGCAGTTCAGTGAAATACAGTGAGTGCTCTTTTGTTTATCATGTCATTCTTAAATTCAGACATTAAACAAAGGTTTGTTCAGGTTGCTGATAATTTTCATTCTCCATCATCTAAATGGAGCTATGAAGAATTATAAAACTCTTTTCGGAAAGATTGGGAAATTCTGCTAGTGTCCTGGCTAGTACTTTTCTTTCAATAAATATCATGCAAAACAAAAAAGTCTTGCACTTCATTATTATTTGGAGAATTTTGTTGCATTCGAAGTGACTGACATTGTGTCTACATATCACAAGAGTTGTTTAAACAGAATTGTGCAAACTACTGAAATGTTACTCTCAAAGCAGAACGGCTATATAAATGCAAGTCTTTCTTTGTATTTTTTAAAAGCTGCTTGTGTTAATGAACAAAAGCACAGAGAAATAATAAGACCATTCATGGCTAAATTAGATGAAAAAAATGATAGAACAGCACACAACTAACTGAAATATTCTGCATTAATACATAATACCTTGATCTTAAATCTGAGGAAGAACAGACTGTATCTCAATAGTCTGATATCTTTGTATGAATTTCCAGATTAGAACATTCACTTAAATTTTGTCACAAGTGTTTAGCAATTATCAACAGATGATTACTATACCTTCTTCACTTAGCATGCAGTCACAGAGAAGTATCTCTGTGAACACTATGTCATTCGTTAAAACCTTTCCCAGGACAGCACATGTGTCAACAGATAGAGACTGTGTAGAGAGATCCAGCCTTTTCCTTAAGTTCTCATTACAACCATCATGCAATTGCTTCAGAATACATTCCTGTGGCTCAATACCAGCTTCTTTACAAAGGCAAAGGTAAGTTCTCTTGAAATCATCCATAATTAAAGTATCTGTCACATTTGAACTTGCTTCAGTTTATCAACATAATATTACTCTGTGAAAAAAAAGCAAACATATTATCAATGGGTATTTTGACATTACTATATTTCCCACTCCTGCAAACCCTATACCAATTCTTGAAGAGGGATAGAAATTAATTACACTTCTCACATTAGAAGCGAGAAGCAAAAATGCATTTGCCTCAGCAACATTCAGATGTCCTGCCTTTTTGAAAATAGTAAAAGCACACAAAGATCCATTGCAAGACTGCAATCATTAGCTAATTTTAGTTGCACATTTACAGTTCATCAGCCAAGGGTGGGAAATCTGTCTCATTTGTGTATTTGAAATCTGCACACGTACAATGTGCAGAGTTTAAGAGGAGGTGATGGTATAGTGGCAATATTACTGGCCCAAGTGAATGTCTGGAGATATCGGTTCAAATTCCAACACAGAGCCTGGAAGTTTTCTTACTTCATTACTAGGATTGATGATGATGATGATGATGATGAATAATATTATTATTATATCTTCTTTATTTAGCAGTCACAAAGGATTGTCTGTACGAATGCTATATCACTAAAACTTTTCCCAAAACAGCATACATCAACAGGGAGAGACTGTGGAGAGATCCAGCCTTTTCCTCAAATTCCAATCACAACCATCATGCATTTGATTCAGAATATATTCCTGTAATTTGATACATTTTTTTTTTTTACAAAGGCAAAGGTAAGTTCTCTTGAAATCACTCATAATTGAAGCATGTAACATTTTAACTTGCTCCAGTTATTGTATACAACATTTTTTCTGTAAAAAAAGAATGATGACAAGATTGTCCCATGGGGAGAAATTGCAGAGACTGGGCTATTCTTCTCGCTGCAGAAGAATAAGTGGTGATCACAAAATCTTAAAAGAGTTAGACAGGTAGATGCAGAAGGATGTTTCTCCTGGCTAGGTATCTACAACCAGGGGACAGAGTCTCAGAACAAAGGGGAAGGTATTTTGGACTAAGATGAGGAGGAATTTCTTCATTCAGAGGGTAGTGAATCTTTAGAATTCTTTATCACAGAGGGTTGTTGAAGTTCGGTCATAGAGTTAAAGAGATGTACAGCACGGAAACAGATCCTTTGGTCCAACTTGTCCATGCCAACGAAATATCCTAAATTAATGTCGTCCCATTTGTCAGCATATGTCTCATATCCCTCTAAACCCTTCCTATTCACATACCTTTTAACAGTTGCAATTTTACCAGCCTCCACCACTTTCTCTGGTAGTTCATTCCATACATGCACCAGTTGCTGCATGAAAAAATTGCCCCTTAGGTCCCTTTTAAGTTTTTCCCCTCTCACCTTAAACCTACAGCCTTTAGCTCTGGACTCCCCTAACCTGGGGAGAAGACCTTGATTATTCACACTATCCATGCCCCTCATGATTTTTATAAACTATGGAGCTATACACAAAAGTGCTATTGAGTTGGATGATCAGCAAAGACTCAAGGGTGTTAATGCTAAGTTGAAATGTTATCAGGTACATGTGCTTACAATTTACCTATTAACCTGCTGTATAAGGAAAGGAAAAACAAAATTATACTGCACACCCTAATCTAATGGGGCAAGCCAACACATTACCCTAAAAATTGGTAGGGTACAAATTTATTTGAACAATTTAAACTGAACTGGTCATTGGATCATTATTTGCATACAATTCTATTCCATTTTTTGGATAATTCGGAGTGGGATTCGGAGAACAGTTTAAATTATTTTCTACCATCATCAGGAATATGAATGGAGCAGCACGGTGGCTCAGTGGTTAGCACTGCTGCCTCGCACTGCGCCAGGGACTCGGGATACTCGGGAGGATCGGTGTGGACTCGATGAGCCGAATGGCCTGCTTCTGCACTGCAGGGATTCCACGATACAACAAAAAATGTTCGTTATTTATTCCAATGTCAGCTAAGTTCTTTGCCACTTCACACATTTTTCCTGCGAAATGTCAACTTACATACATCTTACTGGTCATTGCAAACCTGCACTAGTCTGGTAAAACAAAGGTGCATACATTCCATAATACCAAACAGATAAGAAATCTGATCGGATCCTGGGGCTACCTTCTGCGTATTTCTCATACGCTGCTAAATAGACTCACAATACGAAGTAAACGCCACAGGACACAACTGATAAAATTGTATCAATTGCATTGCGATGTACTAACAGCGGCCTTACCGGCACCAAAAAAGGTTCAAAACTGAACGAACTTTTAAATCACGTAACAGCTGCTCGTCTAGTTAAAACGAGAAAATGCGTACGAGGCAGAAAATAAAAAGGAGGCAAGCAAAATACCGCGGATGTCGGAAATTTGAAATGAGAGCAAAGTTTTTAAAAAGTCAGACATCAGTAGAGACAAACTTTTATGTCGACGACCTTCTATCAGAACAGAGGAAGAAGGGAGACCTTCGGGAAACGACCTAAACGCTCTCGGGTATTTGACAGAAAGTCGATATGTCAAGAGCAGCTGAAACACACTCAACAATAACGGTAATCACATAACCTGACACAGTAAAGCACTCACTAGCCCGGAAGTACAATAACGCCACAACCAAACTCTCCAGTGACGGGAAGAGGTAAACTGGGCAAAAACCCATCGCACCGGAATCATTCTTCTTTTTACCTTCAAACAATCGATGCCAAATAACCGGAACTCAAAAAGCGAGTGATGAAGCTTGGAGAAAGCGGTTCCCAGACGGTCAGATTCAAAACTGCATAGCGCCGGTGGAAGAGGACAGTCTCACTTCCGGCCATCAGTCTCTCCCGTTACCTGATACCAACACCGCAAGCTGTTGCTTTGCTACCGGGGTGGGGGGTATGGTACTAACTAAACCAGCTAGCCGCCTATAGCTGACACGAGTAAAACGACTGTTTGTGATCAGGATAAAGTATATGTAATCATGCCAACTTTCACCGCCGCCACTCACACTCTGCACTGCCACCCTGTATCCATGCAGCGGCGCATGATGGGAAACGTACAGCCAACCAATCCAGACAGCGGCGGTTGTGGAGGGGGTCGCGCTGGGAATTATGGGGGCTGTAGTGTTCTTGGCCATTGTGGCGGCTGCGCGGTGTGATACAACGGGACTACATCGACCGGCAGGCACCGCGCCACCGATTTGCTCACCTCGGAGGTTATAACGGAAAAAACAGAGAGCGAGATCAAGGTGTTCTGTGATCTCGTTGCTTCCTAACGAAATACCTGAAGAAAGATCATAATGCTGCGAAATTGAAAGGGAGTTACGAGAGAAAAAAAACATCAGTTTGTATTGGCACATATAGAAATGAAACCGTGTAAGCTTTTCAAACTTGCCGATTGTGAAAGTACGACTCGATTAACAAGGTTCGGAATGATCGCCCTGATAATAAATATGGTTGTACATGGCCTGTCAGCCATGCAGTGAGTTTTATTCGTTGAGCCTTTGTCTCCTGCCCTCTTTAAAGCTAATTTTAAACACCCCCGCCCCACTTTAATTGGAGGGAGAACATTCACAAAATGGTAGACCGGAGGATCCGGAAAGCTCGCTTCAGCACCCGGGACCTGTGCGCCCTGCTGGATGCGGTAATGGAAAGACGGGAGGATATCTTTGGGCGGGGAGGTGACCCTTCCGAAGCTCAGAGGAGAACGGATGCCTGGCAGTACGTTACAGAGAGGGTCAACGCGGTTTCCGGAAACTACAGGACCTGGGAGGAAGTTCGCAAGAAAGTCCATGGCCTGAAGAAAAGCACAAAGGTGAGGTCTGAAAGCCTCAGTCACATAGGAGGCCAGAAAGCAAATGCTGACATCGGACAATTGCAGCAATTAGAAATGCAAAACAAAAGCTACACTGATCAGAGAAATATCAGCCGTAATTAACAGTAGACGTGCATGCCAGTTGAAACAACAGCTTGCGTTGCTGCCTGGCACTGTAGTTACTTGTTTTAGATCTATTGTTTTGTTTTAAAGGAAAAACTCGCTTATAATCGAAGATCATGGCAGGCAGCGGGTGGTGCCCTCCCAGATATCAAGTCATTAACGGAATATGAAAATGAAATGCTTGTTGTATTTGGGAAGGAAAATCTTGAAGGTCTTCGGCCTGTGGATATCGGCACCATGACAAGACATGTTCGTAAGTAATATATAACGCAGATCTCCTTTGATTTGCACCAAACGTTAAATGAGTAAGTCTCTATCCGCTATATAAGCAGGTTATTTCGTATAAATACGCGTGCAGCATGTAGATACATTTGGGTTTACTCGTGGTGTTCTGTTTTTCTCTCCTTAAAGCACAAAACGAACACTGTGGGCAGCAAGTGACATCAGAAGAGCAACATACTCCTGAATGCCGGTTGTCACCAGTGCTGTTTGAAGGTGGCAATAGCATAGAAACACCTCTAGTTCGAGGTATAAACGATGAGAATCAGGAAACACCAACTGAATCCTTGAGCACTAGTGAAGAATGGGAAGAAGTGGTGGTGGGTGACGAGGGAACAACTGTTGCAGCCTGGAGACCCAACATGATAGGTGCCCCCACTCAGTTAGATACAGTTATAGACCTTAATGGGCCTGCTTTCCAATGGAGGCTGTTAGAACATGGAGTCCATGTTGAGCAGTCATTGGCCTTCATGCACAATACTTTGGAAGATGGTATGGTTAGGTTGAATCAGCGGTTGTCCTCGATGCAGTCTGCTATTGAGCAGATGGCAACACCAGTGACAACTGCAGTAGAAACCTCACTTATGCAAGCTCTAGGCAATGCAGGAGCATCTCTTATGAATGTTCACAATATTGCTATGGAAGCTCTGGGGTTAAAACTTAAGGAAGCAGTTGTAGCTGGCTTCGATTCACTTGGAGAACAGTTACATGGAACTGTGAGAGAAGGATTTAAAAATCTAATTGAAACACAATGTTCTACACTTACACAGCTGATTGCATATTGTGAGGAGATGCCCTCCAGTATTGGCACAAGTGAAGTTAAGGCAGTTGACACTCCTGTCACCACCAGTTCTGTGCCAGAACACATCTCTGCACAAGTAACAGGGTAACAAGTAAGTTGACAAAATTGAAATAATGCTTTTATTATCATTGTATTTCTTTAATATACAAAAGGTCTGCTGTGCTTTTTAAAATAGCTGTAGGCTTCACTGTTTCCTCAGTTGTCACGTTCTATTTTAGAGTTACCTTTTTGAGAAGAGTGCTACTTCGAATCTAATCAAGAATATACAAAATAGGAACAGGTGTAAGCCATTCAACCTTTTGAGCCTGTTTCACTATTCATTAAGATCATGGCGGATCTGATTTGAGGCCTGAAATTTACTTTGATTTCCGCACCCCGCAACCCCCCCCGCCCACCAAAAACTACCAACATGACCCTTAACTCTCTTGTTAATCAAATCTGTCCAACTCCACCTTGAGTTTGTTCAACGATCCATCTTGCACTGCTCACTGCAGAAGAGAATTCTAAATGCTAATGACCCTCCGAGAAGCAATTCCTCCTTCTCGGTTTTAAATGAAACGCCTTATTTTAAAATCATGGCCTCTATATTTCTTGATGTCCCCCAAAGGGGGAAAGATCCCCTCAACATCCATCCTGTCAAATCCACTCAATCTTATTGAAATTCGAATGATCATCTCTCATTCTCCTGAACTCTAGTGGGTATAGGCTCAATCTTCTTTCAGGACAATCCCACAGATTAGCTTCATGAATCACCTCTGAAGTGTTTGCAATGTATGTCCCTCCTTAAAGTAAGGAGAGCAAATTGTACAAAGTTCTCTAGTCTGATCTTGCTGGTGCCCTGTACGGTTATAGCAAGACTTTTTTGCTCTATTCCCCTCACAATAATGGCCAACATTCCATTTGCCTTCCTAATTACTCAATGTATTTGCATATTGACTTGTGATTTATGTACAAGGATACTCTGAATTAACCTTCATGTGCATTTAAAAGATGGCTTAATAAATGGTGTTACAGTTGTGTGATGTAACATCTGTTTGGTTGTACTTAAAAAATATTCATACCTTTTCGGCTGTGGATTGATTAACCTTTGGGAATAGTATCCACTAGTTGTGTGTCTACTGTTTAACTGAGATTGCAACAATCTAGCTAAACCTGTGCCATTTGCTATTTTTTAGCTGGCATCAGCATTGTCCTGTTTCAGGCAATCTCAATTGTTATCTCTAAGCATATACTTAATGCATCAAAAGAGAAAGTGTAGCTCAAACCTCCAGTCGTGAAATCCTGGTTAAAACTTGAAAAACAGCATATGCAACAGTTATTGCTTGGAGAGTTTAATGAGCATTTTAAAACGATAAGACTACTTTTCACATGTTGCAGGGGCAGGTCCTTTTTTTTAATCTCTTATGATCAGCCTCAAGAACACTATTTTTAAGATTGTGTAATATTAGACTAAAAATGTTTCAGAATGTAATTTTATAAATAAATACTGCAGCTAATTTCACCTGTAAAATACTGGTTCTATGTTTGGTATTTTTCTATTTTGAGACTGAATCTACAGAACACTTTTCTGAAACACATTGCACTAGCTCATTTAGGACAAATTGTTAATTTGTTGCACAAACTCTGCAATGAAAAAATCTTATGCTAACAGATCATGGGATGAGACAAGGCCTATTCATAGGAATTGGACTGAACCTTTTCAAAGGAGCAAAAATTCATCCCTAGGAAAAAGAAGCATGGTACAGGGAGGATGAGGCAACCATGGCTGACTAAGGAAGTCAGGGATAGCATAAAAGCAAAAGAGAAAGCATATAATGTGGCGAAGGGCAGTGGGAGGATTGGGAAGCTTACAAAGACCAACAGAAGGCAACAAAAAAAGGAAATAAGGAGGGAGAAGATTAAATATGAGGGTAAGCTAGCCAGTAATATAAATAAAGACTGTCGGAATTTCTTTTAGATATATAAAGGGCAGAAGTGGACTTTGGACACTGGAAAATGATGCTGGAGAGATAGTAGCGGGGAACAAGGAACTGAATAATTACTTCGCATCAGTCTTCACGGTAGAAAACATGAGTAATATCCCAAAAATTCAAGGGAGTCAGGGGACAGAGCTGAGTATGGTGGCGATCACCAAGGAAAAGGTGCTAGTAAAACTGATTGGCCTGAAAGTGGATAAATCACCTGGACCGAATGGACTACACCCCAGAGTTCTAAAGGAGATAGCTGAAGAGATAGTGGAAGCGTTAGTGGTGATCTTTCAAGAATTGCTAGAGCCAGGGAGGGTCCCAGAGGACTGGAAAATCGCTAACGTGACACCCCTGTTTAAAAGGGGAGTAAGGCAATAAGATGGAAAATTACAGGCCGATTAGCCTAACCTCGGTTGTGGGTAAGATTTTGGAATCCATTGTGAAGGATGAGATTTCTGAATATTTGGAAGTGTACGGTAAAATAGGGCAAAGTCAGCACGGTTTCATCAAAGGGAGGTCATGCCTGACAAATCTGCTAGAATTCTTTGAGGAAGTAACGACCAGGGTAGACCAAGGAGAGCCAATGGATGTTACTTACCTGGACTTCAAGAAGGCCTTTGATAAGGTGTCACACAGGAGGCTGCTGAGTAAAATAAGGGCCCATGGTGTTAGAGGCAAGGTGCTAGCATGGATAGAAGATTGGCTGTCTGGCAGAAAGCAGAGAGTGGGGATAAAAGAGTCTTTCTCAGGATGGCAACTGGTGGCAAGTGGTGTTCTGCAAAGGTCAGTGTTGGGACCACAACTTTTCACTTTATACATTAATGATCGAGATGAAGGAACTGTAGGCATTCTGGCTAAGCTTGCAGATGATACAAAGATAGGTAGAGGGACAGATAGTATTGAGGAGGTGAAGAGGCTGCAGAAGGATTTGGAAAGGTTAGGAGAGTGGGCAAAGATGTGGCAGATGGAGTACAACATGGGAAAGTGTGAGGTCATGCACTTTGGTAAGAAGAATAAAAGCATGGACTATTTTCTAAATGGGGAGAAAATTCAGAAGTCTGAAGTGCAAAGCAACTTGAGAGTTCTAATCCAGGATTCTCTCGAGGTAAACTTGCAGGTTGAATCAGTAGTCAGGAAGGCAAATGCAATGTTGGCATTTATTTTGAGAAAGTAGGAATGTACTACTGATGCTTTGTAAGGCCTTGGTCAGGTCACATTTGGAGTATTATGTGCAGTTTTGGGCGCCATATCTCACGAAGGATGTACTGGCCCTGGAGCAGGTTCAGGAGGTTCACGAGAATGGTCCCAGGAATGAGAAGCTTAACATATGAGGAATGTTTGAGGACTCTGGGACTATACTCATTGGAGTTTAGAAGGATGAGGGGGGATCTAATTGAAACTTAGAGAATACCGAATGGCCTGGACAGAGTGGATGTTGGGAAGATGCTTCCATTGGTAGGAGAGACTAGGACCCAAGGGCACAGTCTTAGAATAAAGGGAAGACCTTTTAGAATGGAGATAAGGAGAAGCTTGTTCAGCCAGAGAGTGGTGAATCTATGAAATTCACTGCCTTTTGAGTACATTTAAGGCTGAGATAGATAGGTTCTTGATTATCAAGGGTTACGGGGAGAAAGTGGGAGAATGGGGTTGAGGAACTTATCAGCCATGGTTGAATGGTGGAACAGACTTGATGGGCCGAATGGCCTAATTTCTGCTCCTGTGTCTTATGGAGAAAGTATTGTCAAGTTTCTTTAACTGTAACACAGGCATACTTAAAGTTCAGTTTATGCACTTTTTTCAAGAACTCTAATTTAATATTTTCTATAACTTGAATCAGTAGTGCAGACAACAATGAAATTTAATTCAGAATAACAAAGATTATGTTGTACACAGAAAGCACAACTAGACCATCAATGTATTATTCTTGTATGTACATTATGCAGTATTAAAATGGCTTCATTTTGCATGAAAGGGAACATGAGCATTCTGAAGTAGTACAAAGACAAGACTGAAAGCTTGAAACAGAGACATTGTGGACTTGGGTGTTAGTTTAAAAAGTAGGGCCTCTGTGGGATTACTTCTGCAGCTGCACATCAGGCCAGTTGGGGGAAGAACAGAATAGGCACATAAATGCTCTCTTGCACTGTTAATGTTAAGATTTCTAAAATATCAGAAGTAATTGTGGCAGGAAACCCCATGCACGGTATATATTTTTAAATCAAAATCAATCAGATTTAAGGGAGACCCAAATGGCAAACATAAGAGGAATGGAGAAAAATAACATTGCAAGTTATTTTCCCACTGTCTGTCTATTTATAACAACAAAGAAATAGAAGGAGACGATACATCCCCTTAAACTTGCTCTGTTATTCAGTGGCTGAACTTTGACATTCATTCCATTTTCCTGCAATATTCCATGATTTCCTTTGAGCACCAAACATTTATCTATCTATCCGAATCTTGAATGTATTCAATGACTGAGCAGCCAAAGCTCTCTGGGGTTTAGGATTACACAGATTTGCAAGTTTCAGTGAAGAAATTTGTCATTTCAGTCTTAAATCCTAAATAGCAGATACCTTATTTTTGAGACTATGAATCCGTACTTCTAGACTCCCTCTTCGCATCAACAGTGTCGAGCCATTTGGGAATTTCATATCTTTTAATTTCTTCTAAACTCCAGATACTATAGGACCACTCAATCTCACATTAAACAGCCTTCATGTCAGGAATCTAATCTGGTAAATGTTCTTCTGCTCTAAGACAAGTATATCCTTAGGTACACAGTACTCCAGGTGTCATCCCATTGGTGCAAAAAAACTTCCTAATTTTTGTACTGCAACTCAATTGCAATAAAGACAAATATACCATTTGCTGTAATTAATCGCTGAAGAACATAAGTGCATTTTAACTTTTCTGTAGTTCAAACGTAAAGATATCCAGATCCCTCCCAAACTAAGCCATTGATATAGATTGAGGATAGCTGAAGCGCATTCAACCTTGCAGGCTTCCACTGGTTACCCTCTACCATTCTGAAAATAACACGTTTATTCCTGTATTTTATGTCTACTAACCTGTCTTCAATTCATTCCTGTATTAGCCCAATTCCCTCTGTCAGTCTTTCGTAACATACGATTAATGTACCACCTTCTAGAATGCATTTAAAAATCTAAATACAGACATTCACTGGTTTTGTTTATCTAGCCTGCTCAGCACGTCCTCAAACAATTTCCCTTTCATTATACTTGTCTGTCTGATTACATTATGATTTTAATATGCCTGCTACTCTGTTCATGGAGACCACTGGAAAATCTAAGGAATCCTGTGAGATCAAAATCATGTATCCATCCTCTGCATCCACCTCTTTTGAGACTCCAGTATGTAGGCCATTGGCCTCACGGGATATCAACTTTTAATCACATTAATTCCTCTTATACTTTTTCTTTAATATTGTGTTCCTAGCTCATTATTCACTTGATTTCAAACACTTGCCAATTACTGAATTTTCCCAACTCCTGAATGATGTGGGCAACAGTGAACCAGTTAGGAAAATAAGGGCGATCAGAAAAATGAGATTAGCAACATTGAGACAGAGCATTCCTATTTTCTAGAAAGTTTGAACAGTGAAATGAGAATCTTGCTAGTGAACTGCAAGGGACCTATTTGCATGCGTTTCAATCTCATTATATTACCCATTTGTCTAAAATACTTGAAAAACGATTTAGTTTTCAGAATTGGTCTGCTCCAATTATTTTATCAGAATTAATTGAATTACACTAGTTTAACAATTGACAAGAAATGACAGTTCTAGCATTGAATATGCTGAAACAGTAACATTAATCATATTGCTCATTACCAATCCTTCCTTGCTTTTTCATTTCACATTTTTAACCAACAACTAAAAGGTAAGAAAACAACAGCTGCACATTGTTTTTAATTTTATAATTCAAAGTTACACAATACATTGCTTGTTTACACTAAATAACGCTCAAACATTAACATTCCAAACTAATAAAGGCATAGAACACCCTAAACAAACAAAAGGTGTACAAGTTGCACAGTGCAAAGTTTTTATAAAATCTTATTTAGTGGTAATATACCAGTTGGTCTTTATTAATGAAATACAGTAAAGTACCACTCAGATGTGATTGCTGATGCTAAGAAATGTTAATTCTTGATGATTTCTGTTCTAGTGAGATCCCCACTTTGAAAATGTTCGCAATAATTTAAGTTTTGCAATTTGAAGCTGATAAAAATGTAGTTAGTTTGCATGACTGACAAATGACTAATTCACTATCTTGCTGTCTGTATATTGTAGCTGCTTCTGGTTCTTTCAAAAAGGAATAATGGGGCAGAATGATTGGTCTGATGTTTTTTTAAACTGCCCTCAGTCAACTACATGTTACGGCACATACAATATTTAATATTATTCTGCACACATGCTGAAAGAATGTAGAGCAGATTCTGATGAATGGCTTAATATGATCAAGCCACCATAAAGGCAATAAATACCACAATGTTCATTTTCCTTGTAATCTTGGGTTGAATTACATATTACACTGGTTATAAAATAAAAGAATGAAACATTATATTTCAAATAATTTGTAAATGTTGAAGGCTGAGATGAAATCCATTGTGGAAGAAAAGTTCATTTCATTTCATTTTAAAAGGCGATATAAAGCATAGCAGTAATTGTTACAAATATGACCTGTTAAATTCTGGATTTATGATTAATATGGGTCAACATCCATTCCTTTTTAAACCATGAAAATATTGTGTTCAAGCCAAGATTTTTTTTAAAGAGGCAATGTATTAAAAAGTAATATCACAATGTAATAATTTTTTTAAACCAACTCCACTGCTTTGGAAACAAATCTCCTTGTTATCCAATTAAAAAAAGTTTTATGGCCTTGAAATGTTCACTTTTTGCTTCCGTCCATATGTTAGAAATGTGTGAACTGAAGCTTGAACAAATCAAAGGCAAATGCCTTGTCATTGTCAGATCTGGTTTTAAAACATGGCTTTAGCTGTCAATGTCAATAGAGAAAAAGGTGAGAATGACTTTGTACAATGCACCCTGTTGAGAGTCACTGCTACTTTTAAATGTACAAATAGAAGGAATATGTATATTAAAGGCATTGTTATACCAAATTAAGAAGATGGTTACTGTCAGTTATACATATATTAATATCCTAACTAATAATTTAAAAAAAACAAACAACATTTTCAATAACTTCCAGCATTGTTGTCAGGTACAAACAGTTGTAAGGGTATGTGCATAAATCTCTTTTACACTTTCTTTTCACCTTGTTTGTGCCACAGAATCTTGATAAATACCAGTTCAGACACATCTAAAGAGACCGTGCTCACTATATTCCTCAATTGGTGCAGTATCCTCATCTAAATGAGATAGGCAGTGCTTCAGCAATCAAATCAAGAAATTTGACTTAATAAAGATCAACTGAATACTGTATTGAGGTTTCCCTGTTATAAGGCAGTAGAACAACTTTGAACCTCTTTAACATTCATTTTGTTGAAGCTGCTGCCATCGAAAGCTTGTATCCAAGGTTTTATAATCTTCTTCATTATTTTCTTGTTCTTTAGCAAACTGCATGAAAACCTAAATCAAGTGAAGGAAAGTCATTGTGACACATGATATACAAAAGGATTGTGCATCAAGTAGTTCTTCAAAATAAGCCAAGTTTTAAATGAAATGTAATTTCTACTCCAGAGAAAGTTGTCTTTTCATGTCCTACATCTAATCAGATTGGTCAGTGAAAACATTATTTGAATACCAATTTGAAAGTGACTACCACCAACAGAATACTTGTCAGCCTTGTTGATTCTGAAAACCTCAAGGGAGAAAGTGTCAGACAGGAGGAGTTGTAGACAAAATGCATAAGAAACAATGTAAAGCCTCTCAAATTTTCAGAATCCCATTTGAACCTTTAGTTATAAATGGAACGTTGATAGTTATTCTGGTGTTTGTGAAACATGAAATTAAAAAGAAACTGCATCTCATAAATCTTGTGCGTATATAAAAAATAAGAAACAAATTTACTATACCTGTTCCAGTGTTGACTGCGAGAAACTATATTCTTCTATATCAAAACTGTGTTTAGCTGTAAACCATGAATATTAATTAATGCTGGGCATGTGAATTCAGAGTTATGGACAGCAGAACCCATTAAATACCAAAAACAAATTTCTTGCATAAGTTGTGATAACTGCACTGGATCATTATTAAACCCAATCATTTAATTATTTCTGCTCCATTCAATTTGGTCTGCAGTGTTTCAGATTAATAAGGAGTCAACAGCAAGCATCTTTTCATGAACTGCCTGCTTGAACCACAGTCGTCCTTGTGGTGAAAGCATTCTTAAGTCTTTTCTGTAGTAATCTGATATAACCGAGTAGCTTGCTAGGCCACTTCATACAGCAATTAAGAGACAACTAAATTGCTGTTGGTCTGGAGTCACATGTACGCTCAAAGGACTGAAGAATGAAGGCAAGCCTGCTAAATGTCTTTTTAACCACCCTGTCTGTACGTGATGCAAACTTCAAAAGAATTATGTACCTGAACATCCAGGTCCCTCTGTTCTACAACACTAGCCAAGACCCTACCATTGTTTCTTTCTTTTCCCAATCCTCATACCCATCTTTCCTAACTTCCTTAAAAAGTACTCTTGATAATCTTTAATGTTGTTCTGAACCAGATATAAGCAACAGAGGGCACTCTTGGTATTTGAAATGCAGCTTACCTTCTTCAAGCTTGGAAAATGCCTTTGACAAAGATTTCACGTCATCCTTGGGAATTTTGTATGTCAACATCGCAACAAAACTAACAAAAGAAAAAGATATGTCAAGGAAAAAGAGATGAATTAAAAACTGTTGTAAATTCAATGACAGCTGGAAATTGAACAATTCATGGATAATCATTCAGTGTGAAGTTTAGAAAATTTGTTTTAAATGAAGCTTCTATGTAGAAAGTTTTATCATAAAATTTTGCAAAGACATGCAATTTTACATGATTATTCATCACTCTTCTTTTTTTCCTTCCGTGTAACAACTTAGTTCAATGCTTTCTAAATAAGGAGAGGCAACCCTATTGAAAGGCCAGACTTCCCCACGGCTGTCAATGGCCATCAGCATAATACCATAACCAATTGAGTACTGTAAAAAGAGATTATATTGGAAGTTTTGTCCAGTGAAGAATCAAACCAAATCAGCATTTCACACCTGGGAATCATACATATTTTGTACAGAAATGTCTCATACTTTTCTGATTAAATAACCATCACCTGTTTGGTTATTCTGATTGGCTTAGATATGAGAGTTATGAAAGAGACATGAATACAAACCTAACCAATTTTTTCTTAAATCAATAACACAAGTTACTGCCACAAAACAAGACAAACAATTTCTCAGACATGTGTACCTGTATCTACATGGGGAAAGAAATACAAAGTTGCTCACATCTTAAGTCAGTTTTGACAGTGGTAAGTAAACGTGTCTAGAAATAAATCCCTGGAACTTGCATCACCATCATTAAGGTAAGTCAGAGTTTACTTTGTGACAAATGCCTTTGGTAAATTAGCTGCATCATCTTCTGTGAAGGCAAACTTCTGTCATATTTAACCCACAGCTGACAGGAGAAACATCAATAAAAAGCTCATAAACAATGTGACCTATGAATTAGTTAATATTTCTGAATTTTTCAATCTAACATTTCAAGCTGATATGATAATTTTGACGAGTTTGTCTATAACTGAGTTAAATAATAAATAGTATATGTACAGATAACTTGAGGCTTTATATATTTTTGATCTCTGTCATAGAATCCCTACAGTAAGAAAGAGGCCATTTAGCCCATTGAGTCTGTACTGACCCTCCAAATAGCAGCCCACTCTGACCTAACCACCTACCCTATCCCCATAGCCCCTCATTTATGATACCTAACCCACCTAGCTACTCAACCCTGGACATTACGGGGCAATTTAGCATGGCCAATCCAGCTAACCTGCACATCTTCAAACTGTGAGGGGAAGCTAAAGCACCCAGCGGAAACCCATGCAGACACAGTCACCAAAGGCTGGAATCAAAGCCAGGTGCCTGGTGCTGTGAGGCAGCAGTGCTAACCACTGAGCCAATGTGCTGCGGAATTTGTGTCAAACTTAAAACCAACTGATATTGGACGGTTTTGGGGAAAATGAGTAACACATTTGGAAAGGTATTAACTGTTACATACTGACCCTTACCTTTCCTGTCGAGAAGCTTGTGGAAAGATTTGCATTATTTTATCATGAATGTCAGATATTTGCTGTGCTTCTGTCATCTCACCCTTCAGTTTAATCTCCAGTGTATATCCTCCACCATACTTGCTCTTCAGGTGCTGTATGGAGCCAATACACCTGCTCGTGGCAAAAGATTACCTCCATTTTAGTCTATTCAGAAGGTACATGCAAATTTTGGTAAAATTTAAATTAGCCTTTTATATTGCAAGGCCATATAATCCTCATTCTGACTAATTTCAATTGTAGGATAAGTAACAACTGCTCAATTTAGTCTCAGCACATTTGAAGTCTTTACAAAACAGGAAATAACATCAGGATGGGAGAAGTGCAATGACTTTCTCTCATTCCATTCCTCCATGGGTCACAACAAATATAATTGTTTTACCCAGTTCCTGATATCTATTATACTAGACTTAGAATAAAAGGACCAAGCAACCAGGTTTCTTTAATAAACATAATTAGTAATTTATTATGAAACAGAAAGCTTATTTCATGAAGATGCACTCATAAAAATGTTTATCTCTCTAAATTACCCAAAACGTGCACACAAACACTCATGCACTTGCTAAAGAAAAGCAAAAATAGATTTCTCTTGAAATTAGCTCAGTTGACTGAACAACTGGTTTGAAATGCAGAGTGATGCAACAGCATGGGTTCAATTTCCATACCAGCTGAGGTTAACATGAAAATTCCACCTTCTCAAACTCACCCCTCACCCTACATGGTGACCCTCAGGGTAAACCACCACCAGTTGTCTCTCTATAATGTGACAGCAGCCCTATGGTCCACTAGGACTTTGGCAACTTTACCCTTTACCAATTGACCTACACACTTTGGAAGTTTATGCGCTTATCTTTTCCTTTTGGTTCAAAACATTAAAAATTAGTCATCTGCACAGTTCCTAGTATAATCTGGTTCATTGCTCCTATCTTTGCAACTTAGTAATTAACTGTGAGTAAATGAAGTACATAAACTGTTTATTCTTCCTTCATACCAGGTTGATACCAAAACTGAATTAAAAACAGTATATGCTAACTACAAATGTTGTACCAGTTTATGGTGAGATTTTTAAATCTGAAAACTGCTAATATGATGTGAATTCTCCTCATAGAAAGATAGTGGCCAATTTGACCTTGTTCTATCTGCCACTTAACAAGACTATGGCTGATTTAGGTCCTAACACCAGTTTAGGTCAAACCTTGTTCCACATCTTTTAATACATTTATTTAACAAAAATACAGCAAAACTTCTGATTTGAAATTAACAATTGACACAGAATCAACTGCTATATAAAGAAGAGAGTTGCAAACTTCTATCATTCATTGTGCAAAAGTGTTTCCTAACTTCACTCCTGAAAAACAAGGCTCTAATTTTTAGGTTGGATCCCCAGGTCCTGGATTCCCCAACCACAAGATCAATCTATCAATCTAACAATGAGTTCCCATAATATCTTGAAAATTTTGATCAAATAATCTCTTCAGATTTCCAATATCCAGGGATTGTAACCTTAATTAGTGTTCCTTTTCCTCATAGCTTGACTATAAGTTAATTTATCATTCCAGTAAATCTACACTACACTCTCTCCAAGACCACCGTATCACTCATGAGATAGGTAGTGCTACAGGTGGGGTCGAACCAGGGTTTTCTACAGTTACAGCGTAGAGACTAACCCCTGTGTTCTAGTCTTATCTCATTCCATTAACATTTTGATACTTGTTTTATACTCACTTTTGGCATTTTAATGATCTTTGTACATGAACCCAAGTCTCTTCTGACCTCAATTACTTCTCACTTTCACCATTTACAAACAATCCTTTTTAGGTCTAATGTGGAGAATCTTAGCCTTACAAATATCCTGCTCTAGTCATAAAATTGAAATAAGCTATGCATTTACTTAGTGTTGCCCAGCATTATCTAACTGGCATATCTGGAATGAGGTTTTTTACAACATCATTTAAGTTGTTAATACCACGCTGTCTCCTGTTACTCACAAGAATCTCTTAACTAAATACGTTTCACTCAATTCCACAAGCTTCAACTTTAGCTAAGAGTTGCTATGAAGGACTTTATCAAATGCCTTTTGGAAATGCAAAACATAATATTTAGACTTAGACATTCCCTTGTCACTACTTCAAATATCTTTTCAAAAAAATCAGGATCACTTGGCATGACCTAATCATTGCAAATCTATGCTGTCTCCCTCTGATCAGTTGAAAAAAATTCACAGCATTCTGTCACTTCATCCTTAATGATGGATGCTAGTATTTTCCTCAAAACTGATTGGTTTTTACTTCCCTCACTTCGTTTTCAGATGACACTACTTGTAAGAAGCCACCTTTACATAGTCTCCTAGCATTATAGAACAATTCACCAGGAAATGTTTTCCAATGTTATACTGCACTTTTCAAATCAGATTGGCACCCATGCCAAGATTACTGTAAAACCAGCACTATAATGTTTTATAGTAATTGCAAAAAAAAACAATTCTTAATGATTGCTCTACATTAATCTAGATTTGCAACACTATTTCATAGCGCAAGTACCTTAACTGTCCTGACACCATTACAGCAACACGATCACAAAGTGCTTCAGCTTCCTCCATATAGTGTGTGGTCAGGATAGCACCACGTTGTCTATCCTTGAATGCAGCCCGAATTGCTCTCCTGAAACCAAATTAAATTGATTTGTTATTTGCTATATTTAAAATTAAGGCCACATATCTTCAGTGTTCACCAAAACATTTTGCACAGGCATGCAATATTGTGTCAGCCTGAGAATTTAGGAAGGAAGATTTTTGATTCCAGAATGATAACGTTTCCCTTTAAGTAACCAACATACTAGCAAGACAAGATATCATTGTTGTAAATTACATTTTATTCAAACAGCACGCTTGACTTTTGTGTAAAGTAGTTACACCAGCTTCAAACTGAACCTGTGAAACCATCAGTTTAACATTTAGTACTCATTAGCAGACAGCTCAAGTTCAAACTACAGTCACACATAATATCCAAACTTTGCTAATCCTTCACTGAGTGGTCAGATGCAGCACTTTTTCAGAGCAGGAAAAGCCCTGGACAAATGCTTTGTTAATAAAATGCTATGCTGCTTATATTTCACATTTTGACTTTTGGTAAAACTGAGAATAACTCAATCCCTTTGACATAATCTAACCTAAGGGTTCATAGTGACTCTGTAATCTAGAGTCTATTACTATAATACTTAGCTTTCATTTAAGCCTTTGTCATGGTTTGGCATTTAAAAAATATGAAACATGAATATATCTACAATCTTGATCTCAAAAACAACTGCATTGCTACTAATTTGGATTTATAGGCAGAAAAGGGGTTTTCCACCTGCTCTACTTTGTCTCCAACTGACATTACTTTTAACTTTCTGAAAGATTTAGCCATACTTGCAGGGTTTCACTGAGAGATCTCAATGTCAAATAATGTCTTGCCTATGATTTTGTACTGCTGCATGGCCTAACGCCTCTCTAATTGGTTGGTATGGTCACATGACAAGTTTGTACAAGATTGGCTAATCAGGAGTTACCAATCCTGAACTTCAATTTATCATAGCAATCCTTCTATCAGATTTCCTAGTCTTCTGAACAGAAGTGCAGGCGATTTTGACACAACCGGAGTTTCAGGTTATCTGATTTTGACCCCGTGGTTCCACTGTACTTGCCACTTACCACATAAACTGTTTGGATTTAGGATCCATGCCTGTTGATGGCTCATCCAGTAATACAATTTGAGGATTCCCCAACATGCACAGTGCAAAGCAAAGCTTCCAAAGGAAACAAAACGGCAGAGTTAACTCGTTGCAACCATCGCTTACTGAATAATTTAGTCAGAGCTGATAAAGCAAACTAAATTCTTATTCTTAGGATTTCAAACAGATACAGTAACTATCCGAACAGCATAACATTTCACATACTCATCTGAAGAATACACAAAGAAAAATAAAGCATTCTGATGGTATCACCCAGCAAAATTATAAGAGGCCTAGTTAGGCTAAATAGGGGCACTCAATTTAACTTTGCAGGGATATTTATTTAGAAGATTTCTTTAGAAGATTAAAAAATATTTATTTAGAAGATTTAGAGACATTTTTCAACTAGAAAGAGGTTGTGGCAGAAACTCTCACTATATTTTCAAAAAGGTATCCAAGTACTTTGCAGTGACAGGACCTGCAGGGTTATGGATCTAGAGCAGCAAGTTTGGCGTTAGGCAAGCAGCTTTTCATCAATTGGTACATAACTATTCTATGACTTCTATACCAAAGCTATGGAGAACTGCAAATCCTACAGTCCTGTTCAAAAGGAGTGCAAAGGAAGATATTTTAATCAACTTGTTTAAGTATGTAATGACATACCTCTGGTGCAGAGAGCACTGTAACTCTGGCTGCTGGCTTAGAGGCAGGGACACTACTTTGTACCCACAAGAGCCATTCAAAGGATGGAAGGATAGATATTTTAAAGCAACATGTTCAGGCATGTTACAACACACCTCTGCAGCAAGCAGGACCTGAACACAGGCTTGGGGTTGTAAAGAGAGATATTTTCTAATCAGAGATAGTAGGAACTGCAGCTGCTGCAGTTC